GAAACTGGACTACGTTGCAGTTTTGAGTCGATTCGAGCTACGAGGTCCCTCCCGAATTTTATTCACTCAACAGGGTTGTGACGTGAGTCGGAGGCTTTCCTCTGAGAGAGAGCTGCCCCATGTCGACAAGGAGGAAACTTCCTACCACAAACTTTCGAGGAGCTCGGCAGCACGTCGAGGAACCGGTGCCCTAACCGGTGTCCTGACCGGTGCGCTAACCGGTGCCCTAACCGGTGCCCTAACCGGTGCCCTAACTGGTGCCCACCGCCGCCGCATTGGATGCCCCAACCGGTGCCCTGACCGGTGCCCCAACCGGTGCCCTAACCGGTGTCCTAACCGGTGCCCTAACCCGGTGTTCTAACCGCCGACCGCCGCCGTCCTTCGCGTTCGCTTGCAAGTTCAGTTCGAATTCTCGTTTGTTGCGTCTTTGCTTGCAAGGTCAGATCGCTTCGCGTCGCGTCCTGTTGCTGCTCCTTCTTCGCGTCTCTGTTTGCAAGTTGCTTTGCTTCGCGTCGCGTCCTGTTGCAAGATTCTGCTTCTTCTTCGCGTCTCCGCTTGCAAGTTTTCTTTGCTTTCGCGCCGCGTCCTGTTGCAAGATTCTGCTCCTTCTTCGCGTCTCTACTTGCAAGTTTGCTTTGCCCTGTTGCAAGATTCTACTTCTTCTTCACGTCTCTGTTTGTAGTTTGATTAACCGGCTTAGAGGTTCACCGGCACTCGCCGGTGAATCCTGAAGCACCTATATCCAGAGACAGACTTCAAAGAGACGACTTCCCGGGTTCCCTACAAACCCTAAACCACGGGTTCAACCCGGAGTTGTAGCCACTGGTCGGCGTTTCGGTCTGCGGTGGGGCTGTGTGACGTATCGGACGTTGTAGCGATGGATGGCTGGCTAATAGTGGGGTTGCAGAAGTACCTTGATGTTGTGTAAACTGTAGATGTGCCTGCTGCTCTGTTTGTTGTCCTGCTTTGCTGTTTGTGCGCCGTCGTTGGCTGCAGCTCTGTCGAAGAGTGGGACGGTGCTGGTGGTGTAGCTGCTGGTAGCATGAAATCTGGTTCATTGATTGCACGTTCCTTGGGAGCATTGGATCAAGCTTAGCAGAGCAAGAGTCCATCATGAAGTTTTGAGACAATCTGTAAGACACGGCTCTTCGAAAAGACGAGTCACGACTAACGGACACTCACGGTGCACCAGAAGCAGCACTTCCAATATCAAAACAGATTGCTGCCATCTTCTGTCACAACTAGAGGCAAATTCTTATGCGCGCCGCCACCGCCTTGAGAAAAGCGCGGTCTCCACTGACACGCTCCAACACCACACAGTTTGTGTTTGTGCCAAAATGCTTTGACAAGCAGTCGGAGCTAGCAACAGTGGAGGCGAGAATCCAGAGACTGAAAGTCGAGATTTTGAGGCATCCGAAGGCAGCTGGCTTCTCAATTCACAAGCTGATAGAAGAAGGGCACTTCACAGACAAGCAGATGAAAAAGGCTGGTTTCACAGCCAATGAGTTGAAAGTTGCTGGCTTCCCCTTGCAGCGGTTGAAAAATGCCGGGTTCACGATGAGAGAGTTATCCGCTGCAGGATTTACAGCTTGGCAGTTCCTTGCGGCGAAATGCTCAAGCCAGGAGTTGACCGAGGCTGGCTTCACTGCCAAGAGACTCAAAGTGGCTGGCGTCTCACCGGAGAGGCTGAGGCAAGCAGGCTTTACACCAAAGCAATTGATGCACGCAGGTTTCTCGCACAAAGACATGAGAGATTCTGGCTCCCAAGCGAAAGATTTGAAAGAGGCAGGTTTCTCAGCTCAAAAAATCTTACGCAGCTTCTCGCTGACAGACGCGAAAGCTGCGGGTTTCGCAGCAAGTCAACTGGCAGCTTCGGGTTCTTCATGCCAAGATTTGCAAAAGGCTGGCTTCTCAGCAAAGCAGTTGAAAGATGAAGCAGGCTTCTCACTCCAGACGCTCTTGCGAAGTGGGGTATTGCTAGGGCTAGGAGATGCGAAGGAGCTTGGTTTCAAGCGACCGGATTTTGAAGATGCCGATAAAACACTGAGAGATTTGAAGAAGGCGAGCTTTCCAGCAGGAACACTGAAGGACGCAGGTTATTCAGCGAGGGAGCTCAAGCAGGCAGGATTCTCTTGCAAGGAGTTAGAATTCGGCGGCTTCCCACTCAAGCAGCTGAGGGATGACGGCTTCTCAGCAGAGGAGCTGGTGGATTTTTCAGCTGCCCAGTTGGGGAAGGCAGGCTACAACCCCACAGAATTGAAACAGGCCGGGTTCTCCATCCAGAACATTACATCTTCTGGTTGCTTCTCGCTCGAAATGCTGAGAGACCACGGTTTCTCGATCGCCGATTTGCTACAAGCAGGCGTGCATCTCACTCTGCAGCAGTGCGTTGCGGCCCATTACTCACTTCCCGAACTGAAGGAGGCGGGGTACTCGGCCCGTGAGATGAAGGGCATCCTGGATGATTTGTCATTTTCGTTTCCCAGAAGCCAGCAATATCATATCCTTTCGTTACGAGGATGTAGAGATGTGTTTTTGGGTTGGTTGGGTTCCGAAGCACATCTCAGGTGTCTTCCCGCTCCACGAGTTCCGAGAGGCAGGCTTCAACTACGTGGAGATGAAAGAGGCCCAACTGGCAGATACTGCTTTAGCTGCGGCCGGTTTTACTCTGATCTTCCAGGAGATGCCAGGCTTAGGTGAGGATGAGAGCCCACGTGCTCCCAACAAGATGTCCAAATTTGCCGGCGCCCGGGATGCCGGTCAAGTGGGCGAGCTGAAGGAAGAAGGCTGTTCCCTCGAAGAGTTGAAAAGCCTGGGTTTTGGACCAGCGGCTTTGAAAGCCCATTACTCCGTCATCCAGCTCAAGGGCGCCGGCTTCTCCGTTGCAGAGTTGAAGGCGGTGTGTACTTTGCGCGAGTTGAGGATGGCTGGCTTCTCCGTGGCAGAGTTGAAGGAGGAGTTTTCCGTGGCAGACTTGAAATCCGCTGGCTTCTCTGCCGCCCAATTGAAAGAGAAAGGCTTCTCGGCTCAAGAGCTGAGGCAGGCCGGGTTCTCTGCATCGGAAGTGGAGGACGCAGGGTTTACACCTCAGGAGTTAAGAAGCGCAGGCTACTCTGCCGAGGATTTGAAGGCATGCCATTTTTCGGTGGAAGATGCCAAGAAAGCTGGCTTCTCCGACCCCGAACTGAAAGGTGCGAAATTTTCCCTGACAAACTGGAGGAAGGCTTCCCCACGCCGAAGCCCCGACAGCCCAGGCCTGGGCGAGATTTGTGTGGCTCGCCAATACGGTGCCGACGCAAGATATTCCCGCAAAAAGCTGGTGAGTTGAGCCGGGGCGCCGGGGCATGGGACCTGTGCGCCTAGCGAACTGACTACCTCATGCGCAAGATATGCGCCGGATAAGGGGCTGCTTGCGCACACGGATAAGGGCGGAGGGACAGCTGTTGCCGCGGGCGGCGAGGCGACGAAGAGTTAGGAGGAGGAGGAGAAGGCCAAGAAGGGTGGCGTCAGTCAAGGAGGAAGAGGATTTCGCGTCTGTTGGGCTTCGGGATAGGCTTCCAACTTGAGACTTGCAGGTCTTGAGGTTAGTTTAACAGCACTCTGTCCTCGAGGCAATGTGTTCGAAGACTCAAAGCCCTAAGCCCTAAACACCTGCCGTAACCAGCGTCAGACTTTCCATTCTGATTGGGAAAACCATCTCAGTCGAGACGAGAGGCTTCACTATGACAGGTTCCAAGGTTCCAAATGGACGGACTGCTAAGCAGCCCGGGTTCCAAATGGACTGCCAAGCATCCTTGGTTGCTGGTTAAAGGCATCCGCCTCCAGGACCTCAGGTCTGCCTTTTTCGCAGGTTGAAACCACTTAAGACATAGCAGTTCTGTACAGACAGATGAGAGTTTGAGAGGTGAAGATGGTGAAGCCAACCCTCTCAATGCGAAAGACTCGCTGTGGACCCGAAGAGCGGATCTCATAACCTATTGTCAAGAGCTCAATCTCCGTGATGGGGAAAAAGAAGCGATCCTCTGCAGAGTCCCGACATGAACGGCGCAGTGGCCGTGCATCTGATTGCTGAGACCGTGGCTCTTCTTACAGGGTATGGGCCCAGTGCCAAAGGAGCCCCAGGCATGGCTCTGTATAGCTGAACATGCTCTTCAGTGTTTCGCTCATCAGCGAAGTGGACATGATGGACCCGAAGCTGTTCGAGATCGGGATGTGTTTGTTTGAAGCGCTTGCTGCCCGTCTCTGAAATTTCAGTTAACATGGAGAACCATTGGTTTGTACGTTCTTGTCCGGCAAACCTTCAACTTCTGTGCTAAGAAGAATCCGTTGTATCTTCAAGTAATAGCAGCTGGACCTGGGAGGGTCCCACATCTTCGAGCCCGAATACACCCACCCGAAACCCCCAGAAGTTGAAAGCCCCAGTCAAGTTTGAGAAGGAGGAACACCAGTCCTTTCCGAGCCATGCCGGAATCGCTGCAGCTTGTGGCCGTCCAGGTGGGGATATGCGAGGTTTGGTTCAGCAGCTGGCAGGGATTTGACGGTGTAGGGTGTAGGGTTAGAGACGAGTGATTGCAAGGACAGTGTAGGTTTGGTTTCCATTGAATGGTCTGAAGGAAAGTTTTGTCTGCCTCCCTGGATCTCACCATGGATGCGCATCTCGTGGTTCACAGGAAACCACATGGTCACTTCAGAGAACCCAGAGCCCAAAGCTCAACAGCTATTGTTGTTGATGTCCGGCAGCAGCCCTATACCCTGACAGAGGGCCTCAAGAATCCATTGTGACATAGATGCCCCGCCCCCCCCTAGACCTATTGTATATCACAAGCTCCAAACCAGTCTTGAGGTTTGTAGGGAAGGAAGCCCGAAACCGGGAACCCACAGACCGGATCCCTCAGCAAGCCTCTGTTCCATGGGCCTGTCTGACTCGGAACCTGACCGAACCTAGCCACCGAAGGAGTTGCCAGCCACGCCACATGGTTTTGGACCCAAGCCCAAGCCTTAAGCCTTATCCCCTGAACCCCACAACCCTGAGCTCTCAACCCGCTTCGAAGAATCACGAAACCCCGAGCCTAAGACCACAGAATCTGGATCATCCCCTAAACGCTGAGCCCCTAAACCCCAAAGTACGAAAAAGGACGGCGTCGGTGGACCCTGGAGGCCGGCCGAAGCTTCGTTCGCGCTCCTCCTAGGAGTACGGGGGTCGAGTAGAGTTGCCGTAAACAAAAATGAGTAGAGCAAGATCTGCAGAAGTGCTGAAGCAGTTCTATAAGGGTCTGACGGCTATCATATTGGTTTAGTACTGAGAACTTAGTTATTCGAAGAGGGTTTCGGTATACCTATACGGCATTAAGGCAACACTGTTGTAGACGATTCAGCAGGCTCATACATTGCCTTTGTTGTTGCTGCGACTTGCGAGCCGGGAAGTCGTTGTTAAACATGTGAGTAGTTCTCTGAATTAGGATCCCTTTTGCGGTCCCTCTTTGGGGCTTGGGGACCCGATTTTAAAGAACTGCCCAATGTGTTGATCCAGCAGGGGGGCGGGGACTGAGCAAAGACTGAGGGGAGAACTCCCCACACGTTCACGTATATACCCCAGACTCTAAACATCCCCACACCCTACACCCCCACACCCTAAACCCTAAACCCTAACAGACCTGACACGTCCCCAGGCTCCCGGAAGCAGGTCTCGGGCAGCTCCCTGGCCCCCCAGAAGTGGGCTTTTTTAGGGTTTAGGGTTTGGGGTTTAGGGTTTCCGGTTTAGGGTTTAGGGTTTCGGGTTTAGGGTTTAGGTTTACGGTTTAGGGTTTAGGGTTTACGGTTTAGGGTTTAGGGGTCAGAGGTCCTATCGGTGCCGTTGTTTGGTTTAGGGTTTAGGGGGGGTTAGCAGATTGTTTCACATCGGGTTCGGGTTTTGCGGTCTAGTTGTTTTTGGCATGTTGGGGGTTCAGGGTTAAGTTTGGAGATTGTCGTGGGTTCCAGATTCCGACTTGCTGAGGGTGAAGGTTTTGAAGTTTGTTCGGGTTCGAGGTCAGGGGCTGTTTAGGGGTTCTGTGCGAACACAGATGTTACTGTTTCCCCCGAGCCCTATTCCTAATTATTGAGGTCTGTACTAGGGGCGTAGCGGACTAGGCATGCAGGGTACGACAGCACCAAAGTCTTAATCAACAACACACGAAGACCTAAGCCCTGAGTTGCACCTTCACTGCTTCCTTTCCGATGTCTTATTTATTCTCCACAAATGTCGGAACCTGACAAAGATACCCTAGGTTCTGCATCCCCCATGAAAAAGTCTACAACCCCCAGTGAGCAAGATCCATACCAGATGAAGAAACCTGCGAGGAACGCAGGAGTTTCTTGAGGTCCCTGACATCAGCCAGCCGAGGTTCAGCATCGGCCGGAAGGCCTGTTGCCAGTTGAATCTGCCTGAGGCACCCACGTGCGGGACGGGGAGCGATGAGGTGAGTTTATTGTTTAGGATTTAGGGGTTACGGGATTGGGGTTTGAGTTTCGGGGCCTTGCGTTTAGGGTTTCGCATTGCTGTCCAGGTTTCTCATGCGCCAAACCCCAATCCTGAAACCTAAAACCTTAATCCCTAAATCCCCTTGATCCTGACAGAATCAGAGCACCAGTAGAACCCTGATGGCATCAGCGGGGCATTGGGGGTTCTTGCACTTGGGCATCTAAGCTTGTAAGCTTGCCTACCCAGGTTTGATCCTGTCAACAACCGAACGACCCATGCCCTGGAACCATGCCCTAAACCCTAAACCCTACACCCCTAAACCCCTAAACCCCTAAACCCTAAACCCTAGGCCCTAAACCTCAAGCCAAGCTCTAGAGACCTCCTAAAGCCCGAGAGCTCCTGAAGCCCCGAAGCACGGAGGAACCGAAGAATCCGAAACCCGGAAGCCCCGAAGCTCACTTCCCTCAAGTCCACTGGGAGTCGGAAGAATGAGGGAGGCCTTGCTGTTCAGGGTTTTGGGTTGAAGGGTTCAGGGTGTTGGAGGTAGGGTTTAGGGTTTGAGGACAGGGCAGGTCCGCCATGAAGCCCCCTTTTCTGAAGAGCAGCCGGCGGTAACCGAAAACTCAAGTCGCGCCCCGCTCTCCGCCTCTGCGGAACTCGTGCAAACACCCCTATAGAATCCTTGTGGTAGCCCTTACAGTAGCCCTTACAGTAGCCCTTACAGAACGCTTATGGTAGCCTTTAGAGAACCCCTATAGTAACCCTTTCAGTGTTGACGACCCACCATCCCGGAAGGCTTATGCCTATGTCAGCGGCGAGCATTGTCGGCTGAAGACGGTGATGTACCAAGCACTGCTTACATAGGCGGTATGGGTTTGAGAATTTTGGGTGCATGAGTGTATAATTTGAGGGTTTCGGGGGCAGGCGTGTAGGTTATAAACCCTAAACCCTAAACCCTAAACCCTAAGCCCTAAGACCTAAACCCTTAACCCTTATAGTAGGTTTTAGGGCCATGCGAGAAGCCGTTGGTCGCTTTCGGGGGAGACACGGGTCGACGGACTGTCGGAGTTGAGGCGTAGGGGTGCTTTCCATGTGCTGTTGCAAGGCCTGGGGGTTTTTGAGGGGCATTGAGGGGCCCTAAAACCCGAAACCCCCAAACCCCAAACCCGTCAACCCCCAAACCACCCCCACGCCTAAATCCCCGAACCCCCTAAACCCCGAACACCCCTAAATCCCCAAACCCTGAACCCCCAAACCCCTCAACCCCAAACCCGCCAAATCCCCCAAAGCCCCCCAAACCCAAAACCCCCAAAACCCCGGCATGGATGCTCTGCGTGAACGGATGGGGTCGGGGTGGACGTTATTACGGTTCCGGCATGGATGCTCTCTTGCGGCATGTGCGCCATTTGGGCTTTTAGCAAGTGCCGAAAACACCGTGCCCACCTGTGTATTCGGCATGTGACCGCAAGGAAGCACTGTAAATACCGAGGGAAACGGCCTGTGTGCGTGTGGGGTTTCCGCAAGTGACGAAAACACTGTAAATGCTGTATTCGGCAT